AATATAACATGATCCACATATGTGATTTTTAAGTTTCTAGAGATCACCACATTGAAAAAAGAAACAGGTGACATTTTAATGATACATTTTATTTAATTCACCCATAATATTAACTTAACATGGTAATCAATGTGAAAACTGTTAATGAAATATTTTACATTCTTCTTTTTCATCCTAAGAGTTTGAATTCCATGTGTACTTTGCCCTTACAGTACACCTCAATTTGAACTCGTCACATCTCCAGTGTTCAGTCTCCACATGTGGCAAGWAACTGCCATATTGTATATCACAACTATATACCTAATTTTCAGTTTTCCCCAAATCTAAGAAACGGAGGCAACTAAATAATACCAGGAGGAAAGAGAAAGATCAGAAGACCAGTGAGAAGGATAAAACAGAAGTCAGAAAACTTCTTTTGCCAAAGGCCAGAGAGTAAACATTTCGGGTCTTGCAGGCCACACATGGTCTCCATTACATCATTTTCCTTCTCTCATCATCCACTTTCTTTTTCCTTTTTTTTTTTTTACAGCCCCTTACGAATATAAAAACTATTCTTAGCTCTGAAGCTATACAAAAACAGGCCACAGTTTGCCTATACCTGATCTAAAAGATGGAGCATTCTATGAGATAACTGACTCATATTTTCCAAAAAGTCATTGTGAGGCAGAAATAGGTGGGGAAAGAACAGAGGAATTCCAGGACTGCTGGGGCGGCGAGCCCGGGGGTGGTGGTCACTGAAATCTAGAGCATAAGCATTGGGTATGAGATGAGTAGACASAGTGGGCTAGAACCAGTACTTGTAGTGCTTCAGCCAGGGCAGTACAATGAAGTCACTATAGGTGTTAGGCAGACGTGTAACGCTTCTGAAAACATAACTAATTTATCTCTCATAAACTAAGCTCTCATTTCCTTGAAATCTATCGTAGGAATAGTACTTATTAAGTACCTAGGATGTACTTATTAAATCAATCAATTAGTCTGAATCATTTTGAAGCAAAATCTTCAAGTATCTCATGCTTTATGCTTTTTCTTTGCAAGATGTTTTCCTGTTACATAATGTGTTTTCTGTTTTGTTCAAAATATATTATTAGTTTTAGTGTGCCTATAAAGTATCAAGGCAGGTAATACACTGTGAAGTTATCATTAGTAAACCTTAAACATTTTACCGGGAGAGTGGGGAGGGAATAARGTTTAGTGGTCTGTTAGTCAATGTGATGGGGTAAAGGGTACGATTAAGATGTAGTCATGATAACAGTGGTTTCATGGTTATGTTGAAAGTATTTCAAATTAATTCATTCCAATGAAAGTTTAAGCTAGCACTTTTTTTTTCTGTTTTGTTTGTTTAAGTGGGATCCAAAGAAGAATGGTAGAGTTAGGGCAAGAAATGAGTCAATAATAGCATTACCACAGAGATTGGCAATKGCATACACAACAGAAATTAAAATAAAGATGTGTTAAATTTTATTCAGTCAACAGATATCTCACACATGGCATGTAGTGCTATTGTCCACTAATACCTGGTTCCCCTCTTTCTACACTCCCCATCTATTTGAAGGTCATCATGGCTATCTGCCTTGCTTTGACCAATGGCAGGAGAGCAACACACGACACTTCATGGTGGAAGCATTTGATTGTGGGGGCTCAACTCTCCACTCTTGATGATTCCTTGCCTTGTAATGGGAAGACTACGAAGTGCAACAGTAAGACATCATGTAGTGGACAACTGCTCTGAGAATATACAGACCTACTGGAGATTTTGCAATATTAATCTACTTAGACTGTGGTGGGTTTTTATTTGTTTGCTTGTTTGATTGTTTTGTTTTGGTGCCAGGAATCAATCCCAGGGTCTCATGCATTTGGGCTTGCACTCCACTACTGAGYTACACTTCTAGCCCCTTGGAGTTGCTTCTTATTTCATTAGAACCTGGCCTATCTGTCCTAATACAATACTGGATCATGTACTAGATGGTTGTGTTTGGTGGGTACAATGAGAGGCATATAAAAGAGTAGTAAGAGCTCTTGCCAAAAAAATTTCTGTAATTTTACCAATTTTTAAAAAATGTGGAAAAATTTTTTTGTAATTTAATTGAGAAGGTGCGCATATTGGGAGCTAATGGAACAAGGACCTGGACTACTACAATGGAGGCTGGATTCAGAAGGACTTTGATTGCTAAAATATTGTGATAACGTTGTGCAGTACCCAAATGGTACTACCCACAAAGAGCTGGCACCTAGTCCCATAAATTCACACGCTGGGAACCCAGACTCCCGGTAGGTAAGTGGTGATATTCCAGAAGGGATCGAAAGTCTCAAGATAAAATGTTTTCTGGAGTGTCCAGTTGACTCATGTCACTCAATGGGTTTTTATACTAAAACAAATAAGGATTTTTAAAATTTTATATTTATTATTTTTAGATATACAGGAGAGCATATATTGACATACATACATGCAGTATAACTTATTCTAATATTTTATATTAGAATTTAAGGAAAGAATATATTTTATAGAATGAAAAAGTAACATGATTCTTTTTAAAAAAATTTTTTTTTGTAGTTGTAGATGGACAGAATATTTGTAAGTGGTGCTGAGGATTGAACCCAGTGCCTCATGCGTGCTAGGCAAGTGCTTTGCCACTTAGCTAGAGCTCCAGCCCCAACATGACTCGTTAAGTAAGATAAAAATAATTTCATCTTTGAGGGGACAAGTGTTGTAATACCTCAAGACCCTCGAGACATTCATGTCCTCTTCTTGGCCATGAAGGTGCTTTGGTGGAAATTTTGGCCATATTAATTAATTAAAATTTTAAGCCTTTGTACCTAAATTTTATAAGCAAAGTAATTGACTTTAATTACTTCTATTACAATTCAATCTAGTTTATTTATATGAATATTTGTTCAAGCTAAAATATTTCTCGAGCTAAGACCATACTCTTATATTTCTGTTTTAACATATGAGTTTACAAGTTATAAGAGAGTATGTTAATTTAATATTACTGCCTCCTTAAATACATTTTATAGAGGCTCCTATGTTAGCAAACTTGCTATTATTGAGATAAGCGCTAAAAGAAAAACCACATCAACTCTGCTACCACAAAGAGTTGACGCTGGGGATCAATCCCTAGGTGGCCAGGTTGGACTTTATTAGGCATTTTATAATCTTATATGATTAATAAAAAAGAAAAAGAAAGAAAAGGAAATAAGGCAGCAAAATGTTAGGAAATTATTAGTAAAGAAGAACTAGGTTATTATAATTCATTTATTCAGTCAATAAATATTTTAGGATAGTTTACTGTTCTGGATACTGGAGAAGAAAATAAATAAACAAAATAGACCATATCCCTGTCAAACATCGTACAAAAATAAATATTAAGTGCAGATGGGTACTAGGAGCAAAGATAAAAGACACTAAGGGGATAGAGAGTGACTGCAGGAGGTTTGCTGTTTCAGAGAGAGTGGTCAATTGAAATCAATGCAGACATACTAAAAAGTGACAGGGATGAGATATTGTGTTATATTGGCTATGGAATTAATTATTGAATAGAAAGAATGAGAATCAGAGAACATGTGAAAAAGTCATGCTTATGCAATCTGTGATCTGTAATACATGAAATAGAAGAACTTGGTGGGGCAGAAATGTATTTGAGCATTCCTCAGGTCCATCTCACACAGAAGACAAACTGCTTTCACACTAACAAGTGAGTTCAGTGGCTGGAAAAAACCCTCTATTTGCAAGAAAATTCTAAATACAATATCTACTTCTGACCAAGGAGAAAAAAAGAACCTTCATCTAGCTTATGAAATACTGGAGTAAAGTAAGTTCTGATCAACTAAATTGGAATTACGAGGAAGAAAAGAGAGAGAGAGAGAGAGAGAGAGAGAGAGAGAGAGAGAGAGAGAGAGAGAGAGAGAGAAATAAATGACTGAAGAAGGACAAGGAGGAGAATACAGAAAGTTACAGGATAAAGGAAGCAGCTGTAGAGCAACTTTAAAAGAAAATGAAAAATCTCCTTTCAAAAAGAAAGGCTCAGTGCCATAACACATTTTACTCGGTGGCAGACTTCTTTAAGGTACTCAACAAAATCCTGAATTCCATTTTGGATGAAAGAAAACACGGAATGTTTGGAGAACCTCCTCAAATTCCCAGGTGTGCCCTGGAGGCAGGAGGTTTACACTGCAGCACAGTGGAATCAGCCTTGATTTGCTACCTCTCTTGTATTTTGATACTTGTCAAACAGATACACACTTCTCTGGGACCTTTGGGCAAATTCAAAACAATTATAAAGACACCACAACATCACATTATCAATAGATGATAAATAACTCACATTGCAAGGAGGGATTTTGTTTTATTTTTAAGGAGGTTACTTGATTTTTCACAGCTGTTGGATCAATTTGTAAGAACTCTACACACCGGGGTCTAAGATTAATAGTGCACAGGTAGGAGAAATGAATGTTCTGTACTTTCCCAGCTGGCTCTGTTTGGAACAGATTATTGTTGACTGACACCGTTCCCTTAACACTTGACCATGACTTCSCATTTCAAGAAAAAAAGTGCTTCCTTACAGCTCCTACACTGTTTTTGAAAAAGCTTCACCTATTAGTGTTTTGTGAAATGATATTATTGCCAAATGATGGTGATGATCATTTTCGGGATATTTCACCTGAAAAGATGACAGTAAGATATTAGTATGTAATTAATCCCTATATTGTGTCTGTTCTTTTGAACTCTCTTTGAATTRTCCATTATTATGTTACATGACACCTTTCCTAAGGCACAAATACTTTTTACTGGGCTCCCGTGTATATTGAATAATTTAAGCTATTCCAAATTAGCATGTCAGTGCCATGACAATAATTTCATATAATCCTTTAAAAAATATGCATTACCCAGTGGGAGTGATTGGCTTGCCAGCACCCCTTCTAGAACTGGGCCTGATGTCAGAGCCCCAGGAAGACTGCACAGGATGAGTCATATAACCCCCTCAGAGCAACTGGCTCACACCATCCACAGAACTGGCCAGAGAAACTCCAAAGTCCACATAGAACCCCAGTCCATGCTTGGGGCACACCACCCAGAAGGCATTGCCAATCTCAGCTGGTTCCAAGTACCAGAGGAGATCGTAGAACTGGTTTGAAAGCACTTCAGAGTAGGGTGACAAAAATCAAGTAAGGATTTTCTGGAGTCTTTCTGTAGTGTTTGCCAGAAGATCAAGGCTCCACAAAAGATTAAAAACCACCAGATTAGAATATGGAAGGCCACAGGGGAAAAAAGATGATAGAAAAGGTCAATAAAAGCATAACTCTAGGGTTAGACTTTCAGAAGTACTTAATCTGGAAACAGTGATAATGATAGTACCACATAGGACTATTTGGAGGATTAAATAAATGGCACATAGTGAATCCTCAGAATTAAAATTTTGATTATCAACATCATTACCACTGCATCTGTAAACAATCACTCTGACAATGGAGTGGATGAGGAAGACTTCTTTGGAAGCTTGTGCAATAGTCTATGCAAAAATGTAGGAGAGCTTACACATGAGTTGCGAACTGGTCAGCAAAGACAGAATCTACCCACAGGCATTATGGCAGGGGCTGGGTGTGCTTTTTTCCCATCCAAACTGTTTGTTTGTTTGTTTTAATTAAATATGGGCTAGTGTTGTGGCTCAGTGGTAGAGCGCTTACCTAGCATATGTGAGGCACTAGGTTTGATCCTCAACACCACATAAAAATAAATAAATAAAATAAAGGTATTGTGTCCACCCACAATAAAAACAAAAAACATTTAATTAAATAACTTGGCATGTTTAAAAATCAGAAGATTTCACATTATAAATATAAGCTTCTCCTAATTTTGGAATATCTAGCAATAGTGGACCAGAATTCCCTCATGGCAAGAGTTTGTTTAAACTAAGTGTTTTGTGCCTCCTTTAAATCAGGCCTGCTGACTCTATTTGGGCACAGTCCTCACTCACCCTTCTTAATGTTCTCTTTCTCTTATTCACTTCCTTTAGGCATTGGACTCTCTGACTCCTAGCCTTAACCAAGGCAGGAGGTGTGAGAGGAGGTAATGGGGTCAAGGAATTTTAAGGACAGACTTGAAAGAGCTTGGTGAGCAATTAGAGGAATGAAGGGGACAAGAAAATTTGGATGAACAATGATGTCATTAGCAAGACCTGRAATACAGGAAGAGAAAACAGCTTGTGCTAAAGATAGAAAAGTTTCTTCRGATAGTTTGAGGAATCTGTGGAACATCTGAAAAGAGATATCTAGATAAGACTTGAATGTCTAGATCCTAGGGAAGTGTCAGAACTAAAGACAGAGATTTGGGAGTCAGAGAGGGGGTTTTATGGCAATGAAACAATGGTAGTTGATGAAGTTGTGGAGGGAGAGTGATAGAGTAAATTCAAAGGAACATTCCTTCTTCAGGATAGAGAAAGACATGAAYGAAGGCGGCAGAGAGAGAACCACCAGAAGAGGGAAACACAGTCCAGAGGAAACGATTATAAAGTCACAAACCTAAAGGGTTTTATGGGAGAAAAGAGTTACCAGCCAAAGGACGCTGAATCCTATCTGGTCCTGCAGAATCTAAGTTTAGGCACATAAGAGCCCTTGCCAAAAAAGTGTCTATAATCTAATTAAGGAGGATGTATATTGGGAGTGAATGGAATAAGGGATTGGAAAACTGACCAGGGATCTGGCCCAGAAGGGCTTTGAATGCTAAAGCATTGTGACAGCTTTGTGTAGTACCAAACTGAATGCAAGGAGGCATGCATAAGGGTTCAAACCCCAGTCCTATCACAAGTTCTRTGTGGAACTTGCTGCAAGCCTTTACATTTTGGGCCTGGCATGCCCCATCCATATTTGAGGAGTTTGGACCAAGTACCTGATTCTTAGGTTCTACTATCTTAGGATTCTTAGATGCAGAGGATCTCTACTCTGGTTTCTAGTGATTTATTTTATTAAGTAGGAATTTATTTATTTCTGTACCAGGATTGAACCCAGGAGGATGCTTAATCACTAAACCATATCCCCCACTCTTTTTAATTTTTTAAATGACTTTATTTTTACTTATTTATTTTTATGTGGTGCTAAGGTTCGAACCCAGTGCCTCACCCACGCTAGGTGAGCGCTCTACCACTGAGCCACAACTCCAGCCCTCTTTTTTTTTTTTTTTTTTTTTTTTGAGACAGGGTCTCACTAAGTTGCTTAGGGCCTCACTAAAGTTGCTGAGGCTGGCTTTGATCTTTCAATCCTTCCTCAACCTCTCAGGTAGCTGGGATTACAGGTGTGTGCTGCCACACCTGGCTTAGAATAAAAGTTTACAAATGGTGAAAATTTTCTTCTACACAGTAGATACTCAGTATATGTGGACCCAAATGAATGTGTGTTTCAAATTATTCAATGTTTGTGTTTATCAAATGAATTAAGAATGAATATCCTCATTTAATTAGAGAAAGGTCTATTTAACAAAGCAGAGGTATGGGAGGTTTCTAGAAAGAAATGAGCCTTAGGGAAGAGAAAATGTTGCAGAAAATTATGTGGAAAACTAAGATTCTGGAATAAGAGACATGGATTGTTATGCAAATTGAAAGACCCCCAAGATCAAGGAAGGGGGGTTATTACAAGTTATAATTATTAATGTTTCCAGTTAAATAATGACTACTTGATCTGGGATCACATACGAGGTTTTTCATATTTTATTTCCACTGTCACCATTTTTTTACATGGCATACATAGAGGACCACCCCATACAGGAGGTGACAGAGGAAGGCCATGTCATACTGATCATTCCATTGTCCACTATAGAGTCTGTCCTCCAGGGCAGCCTGTGATATTGACTTGAGTTAGCCAATCCCATGTACCATAARCACTCACATTTGCTTTTTATATGTTCACCATATGCTGTCCCGGGCAAATTCCTGCCAATGTGCCTCTGATAGCCACTTCTTGAGTATCAGGTTCATGTACAATAGCACTTGTTGGGGTTTCAGGAAAAATGTGGGAAACCTAGGTGAATTGAATTTCAGAAAAGAACAAATAATTTTAATATAAGTATGTCCCATAGTATCCTGTGTTTTTGTTTGCTAAATCTGACAACCACCCATTGTATTCCATGATGTGTCTGACTACAACTTGGCTGCAGAACTTCAGCAAGCCCCTCCAGGGCCAGTGCTTTTGTGCTTCTGCTGTCCTCTACTGGCCATAAGTGGTCACTGGCACTGAAGGGAAAGGCAGGGTAGCTTGGGCTCTGATCMCTTCTCCACAATGCAGCCAGTGTCATCCTATAATTAACCTCATCTAAAGAATATTGAAGGRACGTGAATGAAGCACATCCATTTAGCAAACATTCGTGAAGCATAATCTTAATACGCTGCAGGCACTGAGATGAGCCACCTAACACTTCCACATCCTCAAGGACCTCTCAAGATGGAAGAAGGAGATTTGGACAAAACATATATGGAAGTCAGAAGTCTCAGAAAAAAAAAAAAATGCTCTGCTCTAAAAGTTATCACTGACAACCTATTGAACTTTGGAGTCACTTAAGCTTTGAGGATTTCTGTGTTCTTATAAAATATGGAGAKCAGGAAGGAAAAGTACGACTGGGAAAGTATAGCAGAGTTCATCTTGGGAGCCTCTTGGTTATTCAAAGTCAAGACCCAGAGCTTAGTGGGAATTCAAAAAAATAAAACATAAGTAAATAAAACTAGTGTGGATAAAATGGAAAGGGGCACTGTCCTGTTAGGACTTCTTTGAATGACAGCTCACATGGGAAAGGAGCAGGGGACAAAGGATTGGGGTCTCAAGGAATAGGAAGGACAGGCACCAGGTGAAGAGATCTATTGTAAGTGAAAGTACATCTAGCCACATGGCAGCTGGCAGGGACAAGGACGCTGGACACAGTGGGCTCTGGGTTAAGGGAGAAATCTGCTACCTCATTCTGGTTTGTATTTTGTGCAATAACTCCACTCTAATTTCTTTCAGTCTTTTGTTGTGAAGCTGCAGGAAACAGCACTGAGTTCAGAACATCTTACAAATGGAAGGTCATGGCTGTGTGGTCAAATTAGAGTAAAGCAGTCAGGAGAATGTTAGAACATTCTGGAGAGTGAAGGAGGTGATGGACAGAGGGTTATGTAGAAGACAGWAGCACGGGTGGTTAAGGGGACAAGAGGCCATGGAGACATTCTCCTCTGAACAGCCAGAAATAGCCATTCACCATGCATCTAGGGTCATCCTAAAATTAACCCCATCAATTGCTCTCATTGCCCACAGCATAAAACATGATTAGAAGTTTCTGAGCTAGTATGAGTCTAGCTCCTGAGTTTATATACTCTCCTATTGCTGCTGTCTTTCACATCATCCTAAGCTCCAACCACACCGAACTTCATGCAGTTCATCCCATTTGATGGACTCTCTCTTGCCTCCAGGTCTTTGTACAGGTGCAAATTCCCCTAAGAAGGCTTCTTTATTCCCCCCATTGGAAAAGTTTCTCATTCTGTGTAGGCATTTTTCCTAATGATGATATTTATCATGATAAAAATTATAATGCCTACTGCAAGCCCTGCACTGTTTTGAGCTCTCCGTGTATAACAACACATAAATATTCCTATATCATTGTTTTCTATCAAAGTATTCATAATATTTCACTTAAATAGCTTCCTTAATTATTCAATACCCTTATTTTAATGTGGATTCCAAGAAGATGAGGAATTTCTCTTGTTCACCATGTAGCCACAGCACCTAGCACAGATGAACATCATTTGGGTTGAGCCTCAAATAGCTAAGACTTAGGCCAGGTACAGTGGTGCCTGCCTATAATCTCAGCTACTTGGGAGACTGCCCTCTTGGGCAATTTAGAARATCCTATCTCAAAAAATAAAAAGGTTTAGGGATGTAGCTCAGTAGTAGAACATTTTCTTAGTAGGCATGAAGCCCTGGGTTTAATTGTCGGCACCACAACAAAATAAAAATTTAAAAATATAGTAAAAAATTTTAAATATCAGGCTTTAGCATCATTAAAATGCCTCATTCTTCCTTAGTAGAGGTTGCTGCATCACTAGCCACTTACCAGCTATGTCTCTTCAGGTGAATTCTTTGACTTATGGRTCTTARTTTCCTCATCTATAAAATTAGGAGACAGAAAACTTGTTTCCTAGGGTTCTCATGGGGATCAAATAAGCAATGTACTTGAACACTTAGACTGTATTCTGTATTAATAAATGATGTCAGTAGTACATAGGAGAGGAGGAGTAGCATTTTATCTTTCACTTGGTGACATATTCCTGAGGTGACATATTCCTGAGTAGGGATTCCTCCCTACTGAATCCCCTCTCCCATCTATCCTCTTCCATGCACCGAGAATTCCAAATCACAGATTTCTTAGGCTGCAAAGGAAAACACTTAACATTTCTGTTTCTTTATCATATAGAACATTTTGGCTTTCTTTGTCTCATACCCACCCATCCAAAATAATCCAGGACCTTTCTTCCACTTCCAGAAGTTTCCTAAA